GCACCGGTTTAGGCAGAGCCTGACCCCGCCGATGAGTTCGCTGAATGTCGAAATTGGTCGAGGGTCCGTCTTGCATTGAACCAATTTGCGACCGAAATGATACACTCACACAGGGGGCCGTGTGAACAATGGAATGTGTAAATTGCATATATATTTTGTTTGTTTATGTGGAGGCACAATTATTGGGGAGGAGGCATATTGTGAACTTTTATTTTATTATATAAACACAGCTCACTGACCTAAGCCCTGGGTCAGTGGGTACCGCCTGAGGCGGCATACTTTTGGCGGTTTCCAATTCTTATCTGAACTTAATTTATAGAGCGCCTTCGCCAAGGCGCTCTTACAGAGAATTAAGAACGGTCCAACAACGAGTGAGCCAATGTAACGGTGACGATGACGTGAATATAAATTAGATAAGAGGAAGCAATGGGGGGGGGGAGGGCGAATCTGTGGCCAACAGCGAGGTGCTGTGATAACTATTTGAAGCGAGTGGGGTTATCGTGTAAGATCGTTCATCATAGCAGTAACCATGAAATCGGTGCCACCAAAGGGGTTGCTAAAACAACAAAAATTTATATTTTATTTTTTTACCGTGATAAATACCACTGAGCTCTCAAAATACTTTTCAGAGGTCACCTGGCCACGCATGAGCGCCCATCGCAGCGGCTGATTTCACCGCACGTGCGAATCGTTGGCAGCAGCCAAATAATCTGGAGGCTTGTTTGCAAAACGTGGGGTTGAGGGGAATAAAACCGGAGGAGCCCGGAGAAAAATCCACGTGACCACTACAGGGAGAGAGAGAGAGAACACGTGGACTCCAAATATACAACAACAGGCATTGGTCAGAGTCTGGGATAGAACCTATGCTCACTAAACTATGTGTTTCTTGTTTTGATTTTACCAGGTAATGTCCACTGAGCTATATAGTTATTTTTCAGGAGCGACCTGGCCACAAATGATAGCCCATCGAAGTGGCTTATCATGTGGAGATTTACAGCGTTCAAATGCTCTGAATGCGCGTTTATAAATCTGGAGGGAAACACCCGTGGGCCCGGAGAAAATATCCACGCCACCACGGGGAGAGAGAGACACACGCAAACTCCAAATATGCAGCAGGCATCAGAGTCCGTATCGAACCCACGCTCTCCTGCATGCCAGGCGAGGCAGTCAACATCTCGCCACTGCAGCGAGGGAGATGGCATCCCCTCGCCAACACGGCGACTTCTCCTCTGGCCCATGGAACTGCCACAGCCTCGAGGGAAGGGGGCCTCACAGCGGTGGTGGGGGGGGGGGGGGTGGACGTCGCTAGGAACCCTGGGGGGGGGGGGGGCGACGGCAGGACGGGTGAGCCGCCCCCCCGTGCTCTCGCTTGCGCCGTCATCCGCCGATCGTGCGCCGCGTTTCTTCCTTCCCGATCGACGGCACCCCCGCAAACCAGCGGCGCTCGCTCGAAACGTCGCTATCGGCTCGTGTCCCGCTTTAATTTACATCGCCGTTCGAATATCCGCCGTGCCCCGCGCGGGCACGCATCGCCAAAGAGGATCGGGGCGGAGGAACACTCTCGGGAGTGATTCAGCGTCATCTGCAGTGCGCGATCACGCGGGGTTTTGTTTTTATTTTACCTTTGGTGTATAACAAAGGCAGAGATGTAGCCTTCGACAGACTGCTGTTGGAGCTAAGTGCCGTGATCGGGGTAGCGCCGATGAAGGCCCGAACGGCACACGAGGGGGTGGGTGGCCCGCACCACGCCAGACCGCCTTCGTCTTCCCAGTGGCTGATGTTCACGACACACCGCACCAGGTCCTCATCATGAGAGGCTGAGTCGACCTCGGTGGCGGCCCAGGACCTGTTCAAATATTCGCCACCGTTTTTGGGGAATCCGACTCGGGTCGCCGAGCTCACCACCCCAGTATCCGCTCGCTCCCCACCACGTGGTACACGCGCGCACGCATGCTGTGCCCGCGTAATGGCTTTTGCAAGTTGTATTCATAATTGTCACGATTAGCCATGATCGATCCACTGCTGGACTGAGGCCTCCCACGCATCCCTCAGCGATCGCGCGATGTAAGGCTGTGTAATGTCCGTTTTTTTTAAAGAAAAATAAATTCTAGGCTTTTTGAGACGGCGAGGCCTACAAACTTAAAAAATTTTCTTAAAAAAAAATAACTCGGCACCTTTACGAGCAACGGTCCCGATTTTCCGGGGCCTAATGTCAGCCGGCTCCGTTTGGGTCCGTGACCCTGAATAAATTTCCGCGCACCGGAACACCACGTCCAGTATACTCGCGTCTCCCCATTATAATGTACCGTGCACATTCGTAAGGGGCACTTCATCCGCGAGATCCCGCGTGTGAAAAGCAGGACACAAATAGAACCTGCAGGGTAAATGACCAGAACTAAGGGAGGGGGTGGGGGGGGTGAATGGCAATTTGAAGGGACGAGTTCTGGGAACTGGTAACATGTCTACTATCACAATTTTTTTTAAAACAACTGCATCATTGGCGATAATCAGAGATCATGAACTTCCACGTACCAATGTGACGGCATAAACTGGCAATAGCACGCACAGTCCACTGCTGGAAGAAGGCCTCACAATGCAGCGCAAATCTTGGAGGCCATTTGACCATACTTCACCACGCTGGTCAGTGTGGTTTGATGAAGGCGGGGAGCATCAACGTGGAAGCACAGAAGTACAATACAGCAATGGAGTTTGCGCCAATGCCTTCTGTTGCCAACCCCGATAGTCAGCCATACTACAAGCACTATCCAGGCCCTAAACAACTCAGCTCGCTAACTTTGACATTAGGGCAAATTCTGTGTGATTTAAGCAGAGGAAGAGTGTACGGTTATCAGCCTAAACTCATTCAGGGGCAGGGAGTCAACAGCAGGGGGGGGGAGTTCTAGAATGAGGTCGGCAGAGAAGGAGCGACCTCCCACAGTAAAAGTTGACAGGGAGTTCGACAGAAAGCTTCTATCGCTGGAGGGGAGAGTGCGTGGATGGGAGTAGATTGAGACGAGAGGGGGAGAGGTAGGAGAGTGCGTGGAGGGGATGAGAGGGGAGAGTGAGATGAGAGGGGAGAGATAGGAAGGGGCGAGTCCTGGTAAACGGCGAGTGAGATCTTGGAATTGATCCGGGATTTGATGAGGATTGATCGGGGCACTGGGGGGCAAGGTGATCTCGTTCACGGATGCGGGGTCTGGCAGCTCGGCTCTGTGTGCAGTGGAAACAGTGCATATGCATGCTGCAGATGACATCATTGTGTTTGCTTGGCCCCGATAGCGAGCAGCTCTATTCGTGGTCAATACGATAACGGTATTTTGAAAACGACTTTTGTTTTGATTGACAAAATATTCTGTATTTATCATGAATTATTCCATCACTGCGGCAACGAATACAAATGCACACCGCGTGGAGGTCATGGCGCAGTGGTTAGCGCACTGCGCTATGAACCCGACTAGTTAGATTCCCGGCCACGGCTAACATCATCCTCTGCCAGTCCTCGAACCTCGTTCACCAGACCACGGTGACCAGCGTGGTGAAGTATGTGCCAAGCATCGATCCCCATCACCAACACAGTTTGTCATATACGTTCTAATTCACACATACAACGTAGCTGATAATGTCAATCAGCTACGTCTATGGTACTTTGTGTGACTTACTAAAATCATAATTAACATCCCTACTTCAATCTACTGAGAAATGACGGTCTCTTCCAGTGCCGCGTCAGTCATCGGGGTTGTTTGACCATACTTCACCACGCTGGTCGACGCGGGTCGCGTAATGCGAGGTGAGCGAGCCCAGGAAACTGGTTCGGATATTATAATTCGTCACCAACGCCTGCCGCGACCGGGAATCGAACTCGGCTCGCCGCCCTTTTAGGATGCGCTAACCGCTGCGCCACCGCTCCACGCATTACAATTGTACTTGCGTAGCGAATCAGTGCGTCCTCGGCACCACTCGCAAGCATGCAGTCTATAACCAGTTCGCGACAGTACACTACAGTACATTAAAAACCCGTACACGTCCAGGCGCTATCCCGGCTCCAAGCCGGCCCGGTCGTACAACGTTGCACATCACAAAGACTCCCACCCCACCTCCGTGTAGCCTTAAGATACTGTTGGGGCAAGGGCTGTGAGCGATCACACACACCCGCTAAGCACACAGGCCCCAGTAGTGCTCAATCCACTGCTGTATGACTGTCACCCCCCCCCCCCCTACCGACGCCGTGCTGGTCGCGGTGGTCAGGTGGTATTCTTTGACCATACTTCATCACGCTGGTCAATGCGGGATGGATGAAAGACGTGGGAGCATAGGAGTAGAGTGCAACAATGGATTTGCTGCGCCGCCGCCGCCGTCTGCGACACACACCCGCTGTCCACAACAGCACTCGCCCATCCGAGCTCTACCCAGGCTCAGCACCTGCTTAGCTTCCGAGACGTGTCGAGTGAGTCGCACAGCGCGATAACAACAACAACAACACCAGAAGCAGCGGACCGACCCACCACCCCACGCCACTTTTAAAGTGACGGTGACGTTACTAGAGCGCTCGTGCCAGGCTAGGTGCACTTTGTGTTGATATTTAACGTGAGGCGGCCAGAGGAGGATAGCTGCTGAACACAAACTACCCCTCCCCCCCTCCACCGAGTTCTATTCTCCGGCCACGACTAAAAGACACGTCTAATGGTTCCGTCTTCCTGGAACCTGCCAGCCTTCACCAACCCACATTGTGACCAGCGTGGTGAAGGATGGTCAGAGATAACTTCCTGAACCAGCATAGTGCGTGGGGAGGTTTTCAGCCATACGGTGGATGGATATCTTGGACCAATCCTTGGGGATCCCACCACCACCACCAACTTAACCAACTCGCACAGACCAGCGTAGTGAAAATATGGTCAATCAAGGCCACTTACCGACACGGTTACCAAGGCTGGTGGCGGACGGGAGCCTCATCCGGCAGTGGATTGACAAAGGGGGTGCAAATACACAAAAAAGCGGAGTACCTTTTAGCTGTCGAGACGGTGGGCCGGGCTTGTAGGAAGATCTCGAGACGGTGACGATAGCATCCCACACGCGTGAGACACCTTCACTGGGCGCAGCCACACATCATCGTCGTCATCGTGGCCTCTTCGATTGCACTTCTTCGTTGGGAACTCCTTTTCTCTCCGCTCGTCTCTCATACAGCGGCCTCGGTTTTGCTGTTGCGATTGCCGAGATAATTTCTTCTTCTTCTGCCGATGGTTTAATAATAATAATAATGTTAGTAATGTGGCCGCTATTCAATGATGCTGGGTTCTTCCGGAACGGTCTTCCTCCGGGATGAATCGTGCGTGGTGTGAGTAGTGCGAGTCGAGAAATATCAACTTGAATGATGAGCGAGCGAGACGAGATGGGCAGAGAACGAGATAGCTGGCGAGAGAGACACACAGAGAGCCTGGCCGAGATTGTGAGAGCGAGAGTGAGAAAAAAAGAGAGAATTGGAGAGACTGAGAGGTAGCCGGATAGCGATAATTACAGAGAGGAGCGCTGGCGAACGATAGTATAAACAAGCAGTCGCGAGAGAGATTTGGTAGTGAGCTTAGCGATGGAGAGAGCTGGTAGAAAGAGCCGGCGAGCGAGAAATGTGTGAGAGTCCGAGCCGGGGTGGATGTGGAGAGCGAGAGAGAGATGGAGAGAGCGCAACAGTGCAACAGCTAGAGAATTGGAGGTGCGATAGAATTGAGAGAAGTGAGCGCACAAGAGAGCGGGCGAGTCAAAGCGATGCGAGCGCGGAGGGAGAAGCGATGCACCATCGGGCGCGATCGCGTCTGTCTCACTGCGGCAAACGGACGGCGCTGCTGCTGCTGCTGATGATTCCACTCCGCGTTGGCGCGTCGCGAGTCACGTATGGCAAGCCGGTGGTGGTGTGGTAGTGATGACGCTGGGACGCATCTCCCGTGTCGCCGAGCTGGGAGTTAGGGGGGAAGGAGGTGGGCTCTCGTTCACGGAGCAGCAGCACCAACACTCGGATTCATATCGGCGGCTCCTCTGGTCTCTGCGCGGAGCTCCTTTCAGCTGAGCGAATAACAACATCGGCGTCCTACTTTGCCTTCCTCCCCTGCTTGCTTTCTCTCTCTCTCTTTCAGAGATTAAAAATCAAATCTAAAACATTAAGTGACGCAAGCTTTCGCTAACGGATGTGGTGTTTGTTGTTGTTGCTGTACACAGTGCTGCATATATAGAGCTGATATTTTTTTCCTACGCCGTAGATATATTTTCTCGTGGACGAATGCCGCCGTGCGGGCAATTATGTCACCATCTCTCAGCGTTACCAATTACAGCGAAGTCATCGTTGCAACAACAACCACCACCATCACCACCAACCAACCAGACCAAAACGCCTGTCTGGCCTGCCTGCTTAAATCATCAAACGCTCGTAATGTATACTGCTGCTGCTGCATACGATGTCAACTCCACTCTCAGTAGCAGCAATAATAGCAGCAGCAACAACAACGAATGCAATGAAAATGAATGAATAGAGATGGCTGGCCCACCACGCCTCCTGCATCATCATCATCATCGTCGCCCCGTACGATCTACGGGCTGGGAAAGCAGCAGCAGCAGCATCATCATCAACAGCACCACCACCAGCCTCCTCCTCCTTGGTTAGAAACGCAACACACGGACTGACTCCTGCCTGGGCTGCCTGCTCCGAGTAACCGCTCACGTACGCAGTGAGGCTCAGTGAGGGATGACCCCCCCCCCCACAGCATTTAAAGAGCCTCATTCCGGCTTCCCATTGGTCGATTCCCTCCTCACCAGCTCCGCCCACTGCTGGAAGTGGGCGTAGCTGGATGTCATTGTACCTCCCCCGCCCTTCACCTCACTGGGTTGTGGTGATGATGGTGATAATGATGGTGTTGATGGTGATGATTATCAGTAGTTTGAAGTTGATTTTGTTTAACCAGATGAGAACGCAAATAGGTAGAAGAAGGGATTGGTCGCATTTGCGAGAGAGCAGCTGCATCACTAAAATGGCAAACACAATGTTTAATTGTAATTAGTAGTATGCGTTGCTTAATTGATTGAACAATTCTGCATACATTGCTCTTGTTTTTGGTGTGGTTTTCAACATGAAGCCCTTTTGGGTTTCCAAGGTCACCTGCACACCTTTAGACCTTGTTTTTTTATTTGCATTGTTTGTTTTTTACTTGTGCGAATACAATTTTAAAAAAACATTTACGCAAATGAGCTGAAATAAACTAAAACTAAACTATTTTATTTAACCAGGTAAGGACCCACTAAGCGATACAGCTCTTTTTCAGTAGCGATAGCCCAACGAAGTGGCTTACCATCACGTGGAAATTTATAGTAGCAGCCGAATACTCTAAACGCGGGGTGATGTTGATTCTAAACGAGGAGGGGAAAAACCGGAGGACCCGGAGAAAAATCCACGCGACCACGGGGAGAGAGACACACAAACTCCAAATATACAGCAGCAGGCGTCAGGGTCGGGATCGAATACATGACCTCCTGTGTACCAAGCAAGGTAGTTAACATCTCCTAGCCACCGTTACGTGGAAAATCGAAAAAACAGCATTGCCACCACCTACCACGGCTCTCCAGATTATTATTATCAGGAATCCGGTATCATCATCTCATCGTCACCCATGGTCAATCCACTGCTGGATTGATCCCCCCCCGCCACCACTTAATTTCATCGCTCCGTCTCCTTCCGATGCGTTCTCGGACGCGCTCCATTCCACTTCGTTGTCATGCTGCGTATATCTGGGCGTCGCCTAGGTCTACTCAGCCTTAAACGAGTTTCTCCTGCGGTGTGTAAACATCATTACTGGGGAGATAAAGACGGCCGTGCGTAGTACTTGCCACACCAGCCCCTCGTGGGCCGGCCTGGCCTTCATAAGGGCCTCCTAAAAGCACTTGCCCCAAGAGCCGGTTGAAGGCTATACGGGGGATCTTTGTCTTTGGAAGTGTGAGAAGATACGCACGCATTAGTAGACACGTTGTCGTGATTAATGTCGTGTGTACGTATTGATGCTGTGGCTGTCCAGCCAAGATTTATATGCGTAGTGTGTGAGTTTGTTCTTTTATTGTTATAATATACTGTTTATAAATCACACTGAAGTATGTTTTATAATCAGTCCAATTTCTTTACAGGCGTACGCAAGGGACACTGGTGGTAAATCAGTTGTTGCGTTGGTACAGCAGCAGCAAGGACCTGTCTACCTGAAGGACACACACATTACTTCCGAAGTCAAGGTTAGAGCTGCTCCCTCTCTTTGCCCTGTTAAAAGTTAAAGGCGCAGCCCTGAAAGCGCTTCGATCCACTCCCACTGCTGGGCGGTACGGCCTCCACTGAGGAAGCTCTGCCCTCCCCCCCCAAAAAAATATATAAAACATGCTTCAAATCGCTTTAAACTATTGTCATTTTTGCGCGTATTTAATATCGCGCTGCACTCTGATGTTGTAGGAGAAAACATTTATTAAAAAGTCTATTTCATTAAGTAGAACGTGTTGTCTATATTTATTATAAGTTGTGATGTGACGTCACATTTCTCAAACCCCCCCCCCCCGCCTCCCCGTCACACATCATCACAAATGTCTGACCCCCCCTAGGTGCGTGACGTCATTTATGGACGGCCCCGAAGCTTGCGATGCCCGTCGAGGAGAATCTGGAGGATGCTTTCGTCTTTCCCTTCCACGCTGAGCCAGACATGTGGGAAGAGCTGGGGGTACCCCCCACACACGTGACCCCCCCACACTTGACCCCACCACACGTGACCCGCCGGTCGACTAACGGTGAGGGTTTTGGACCCCACGCTGTTGCAGCCAGTCCCCTCTGCCTCCTCTCCTCCTCCCGTCGTGAATTCAGGTCGGCTAAATAAGACAACAGCAACAACAACGATACAAAAATAATAATAATAATCAAGTTCCATAGCTGTCAACGCATGCGGTTGACCCGTATTCTTGCAAAGGGAAATTGAGTTTTCCGGTCCATACGGCGTACAGCCGTTTAAAAAAAATGTGTTTGTCTATTTGTTTGTGTTTCTCCCTTGCGATGGGACTTTGTAGCACGAAGGTTGAGATTGATAAGGGCACGGTGTGACCAATAAGGGTCTGAATTTGTCTGTAATAATGTAGGGCACTGATAAGGGGTTGACAGGTATTATTATAGACAGAGACCCATAGAGATCCATGGAGACCCACAGAGATCCATAGAGACCCACAGAGATACATAGATATAGCATAGCTGTCAAGCCATACGGTTTACCCCGTATTATTGCACAGGGAAATTGAGTTTTCAGGTCCATACGGCGTACAGCCGTTTTAATACGGGCAACAAAATGTTGTGTCTATTTGTGTTTCTCCCTTGTGATGGGACTTTGTAGAATGAACGTTGAGATTTATAAGGGCACGGAGTGACCAGTAAGGTCTGCATTGGTCTGCAATAAGTTAAGCAGCACTGATAAGGGGTTGACCGATATGACGTTTGGAGACGACGATGGGTATTGACTCGGCTCTGTGTTCTGTCCTCCGGAGAAGTGGGCCACTCCACAACAGCTGAGCACCAGGGGGTTGGCGGGCGGGGCGGGGAGGTTTGTGAAACGGCATAACTTTTTAATTCCAAAACTCATCTTCAGAAGGGCGAGTGGCATATCTGCGACAGCGATGAGAGACCCTTCGCCCTCCACGTCACAACGCCGCAGCTCAATGCCTCAAATCTAAAGTGGGTAGCCGTGCCGCGTTCTCTAACGTGCACGTGGGGCTCTGTGGGCCAATCCCCGATCACCATGTGCATTCACCTGCCATCTGTGATGCATCTATCTTCTATTCTAAAAGCCCCCGGCGTTCCGCTCATTTGCCCGTCAACTAAAGTCTACGAGAGCCTTTCAGAAGGCCTGAATCAACAAGTTACGGAAAGTGGACCCCCCCCCCCCCCACCCACCCACCCCCACCCAGATGTGGGGGTAAAAAAGTTGATCCAACAAGTTTACAACAATTGTCAACCCCCCAAAATGTCATCACTCCCCCCCCCCCCCCCCCCCCCCCCCAGTGAGTATATAGGTATATATGTCTACACACCCTACCTACAATAGTCAAATTAGTGGGGGTGGGGGTCGTAGAGGACGTCAGTGGGGGCGACGGTCGAGCCGAGAAGCCCTCTCGGTGCTTCGCGCCTGGCCCTGCGTAGCGACTTAGTGCAGAGTGCAGAGTGACGCCCGTGACTTATCGCGGGCGAGCTCGCGACGGCCGCCTTGTTTCTGGAACTGCTGGCTGGGCAGAGGTCGGGCGGCAGGGAGGGATTTAAGGAACTCGGTATTGCAGGTTCCACGTCTGCCGTTCGCCCTTACATCACGGCAGGCAGCCCTCCCCATTGTTTCATTGAGCAAGATGCATCCGTGGGGGTGGGGGGGGGTTAAATGAATGGGATCTGGCAGGGTACCCCAAGGGAGCAAGGGTTGTGAGACGAGGGGTTACACGTTCGGGGGTCGCGAAAGGGTTTGGGGAAGGGACGGGAAGGAGTGGAGGGGCGCGGGGAGGGAAGAGGATGGGCGATGGGGAAGAGGTGAGACTTGGAGAGAACTCGGAAGCTCAGCAGGTGTGCGCATGGATGACGCTTGAACTGGTCACTCGCCGTCCATTACAGGTGCTATCGGCTTCCGAGGGACAACACGATGGGTGGCAGAGGGCATCGCAGCGCGACCAATTGCTGTACTGCACATCCACGCTCCTGCGTCAGCGCTACCGGCCTTTACCAACGTGCACCGACGAGAGTGGTGAAGTATAGACAGGCACCCCCCCACTCCCCCGCGACTGACGGACAACGGCATGGGGGAGAGGCTGGCATCCAGAAGTCGATTGTCAATGTACTAACACTTCCTCATGGCGTTTCTCACATTTCAGATGACTCAGGCCTGCGTAGAATCCTCGTCTTACAAAGGGAAAATGTAATCTTAGCCAGGGCTGCGGATGAATTAATCAGTTAATGTGCGAGAGGTGATCTCGGAGACTCTATGCTTGTGTCCCACGTACGGACGGACCATATCGAATGCTCACTTGAATACCTCATTATCCGTTCGGAGGCGATCGCTCGGGCAAGCTGTGTTCACGATGTTGCTTGCGGGGTTTTTTTCCCCTTTCCCCATCGGCAAGGCCAACGAGGACACCCCTTTGCCTGCCCGTGGTCAATCATTCCGCCAATGAAATTGAATCAATCAGTCAACGTCCAGTGGCCACAAGCAACGCATAGCAAGCCCGTTGATGTGGAGTGTTGGCACAGTCGCCGGTGCGCTACGTTTGGAACTTGGCCGTCCGACTTTTGATTCTTCGCCTATGGCTAACATCAGTGGCGATTGATAAACAGGTCCCAGGCACCCTCCCCGCCGCTGCCGCCACCACCACCACCACCGACCGGCACTGACGGGGCGTGGTGAAGTATGGCTGGAATTGCCGTCTTATGGCGAAGCAGGCGTTCTCGCGCGCGGCGAGTTGATTATCTCAGCCAGGTCAGCGATGATTGCCCCTCTTCACTGGAATAAACTGGCCTCGCATGTCACAAAGTCACCCTCTCTCTTTTTTTTACGATCAGAGGAAGCAAGAAGAAGATGCTCGGTGTAGTCGGCACTTTGCTTCGTTCGTCATTTCGTTTTTTGTTTTGTTTTTAATGCTTTGCTTTATGCTAACCCCCCCGCCTCCCCCCTTTTTAAATTAAAGATTTCACAATGGATTTCACACTCTGCTCTCCTTGCCCCTT